TGTGTGTGTGTGTGTGTGTGTGTGTGTGTGTGTGTGTGGGAGTGTCATTAAATGGAGTAACCACAGCTCTGCCAGGAACTGGTAAAAGTGCATCCTGCTGCACTTTCTCCAGATCTGAGGAACATTTTTCGTTTGGAGTAAAACTTCTGGCTCCTGAGCAGAAATCCAATCACGTGCACACCTTTAATTTCAGTAGCTAAAAGCTAAARGCTACACGGGGTTGGGAAGTAGCTGCAGTTCTGATCATAAATGTAAAGATGAGCTGCTTTGTTTCCTCTCATGTCTTCAGCCTCCTGTGGGAAGAAACGTTTTGCTGATAAATATTTTTTTTTCTTCACTTCCTCTTTCCCACGCTGTCAGAACCTCATTCAGTTTTTACTTCGTGACACAAAACAAAACAAAAAAAATTCTGGATTATTTTCCAACAAATCATTTCCTGATTTGAATATCAGTGAAGCTCTGTTTTATTTTAGAGACATTTCAGCTCTTTTATCTCTTCTTTACGATCCAGCTTCTGCAGACCTTCGGCTGTTTTAGCTGCTCACTAATCTAAATATTCATCTCATTTAGTTGTTGACTTGCCTAATGTGCTTTTTAAGATGTTGAACGAGATTTACAAAGAAATTTATTGTAGAAACAAATTAAAACATTTAAGGCTTTATTTTAGTCTTATTGTTTTAGATTTTAGCTGCTACTTTTAGCTTTCAGTTAATGTTTTGATACAGCTTTTAATCAGTCATTTAGCTACTTTTAGCTTCTAGCTAGTGTTTCAGCTTTTAGACCTGTCTGTTGCTACTCTTAGCTTTGAGCTAGCCTCTTGTTTCTTTTAGYTCTAATACAACCTTTTGCTATTTTTAGGTTTTAGCTAGTGTTTTGGCTTTTAGACTGGTCTGTTGCTACTTTTAGCTTTTAGGTAGCCTTTTGCTACTTTCAGCTCTAAGATAGGCTTTAGGCACTTTTAGCTTTTTCTAGACTTTTGCAAATTTTAGCTTCAAGCTAGCCCTTTACTTTTAGTTAACCTTTGTCTACTTATAGCTTTTATCTGTGCTTTTGCTACTTTGATATTTTAGCCTGTTTTAGCTAGTCTTTTGATAGTTTAGCTATTATTTTGCTACTTGCAGATTTTAGTTAGTTTATGCTACATTTCGCATTTAACTAACGTTTTACTACTTTTGGCCTTTTGCTCCATAAAGTCTTCAGCTCATGTGTAGCTTCTTCTAGCTTTAACTCAACTTCTTCAGTACATTTTAGTAAAGTTTTTTAGCTGTTTTGATTTTTCTCCTGTTTTTACTTGAAAACATCAGAATCTTGTCAGTTTAGATTATTGCAGAAGAAAATCTCAGATTACTGCTGAGCTTCAGGAGGAAACACGATGAAACTTGTTTTAGCTCGACTCATCTCTTCCTGACATTTTCTAATATCTTTAGTTTCTTTAGTGATAAAACTTTCAGTTTTTTATCTTCTAACTTCGGCTCCTGAAGAAGAAACGTTTTTCAACGAGACCTTATTGAATAAAATAACTAAAAACCAACAATAATCTCATTATTCAGAGTAACTTGTTAGTTTTTGCTGCAGAAAAGAGTCTGATGTGTTTCAGCAGGGAGGAAATCAGTTATTTGTGAACGAACATCAGTCGTTTGCTGCAGATAAGAGAATCCCGACACGACAATCAGAGGAAAACAGAGAAAAACCCGAAGTTCTATCAGAACCACGTGAACCCGCTCAGCCCAGAATCTGCTGCAGGAACGAAGCCTGAAGCCCCTGCTGACACCCAGATACTCACTATCTGCTTCCACACAGGCTCCTCTCTTCCTCTGACCTGAACACACACACACACACACACACACACACACACACACACACACACACACACAAACACACACGTGTGATAATACTCAGTAAAACCTCTGACTTCTGTTTAAGTCGCAAAACGTTTCAGAAAGTTCCACAGAAACTCTCCCCTCCCCAACTAAAACACACATTCACGTGCACACACACACACACACTCGCGCGCACACACCACTAACCCTTAAAACTCCACACTAAGAAAAAAAAAAGGTAAAATCTATCGGCGGCGGTCAAATTTTTAAATCAAATTTTGAGAAACTGCGAAACGAGGATTTCTAAAGACGGCGATGAGTTTCTGCCACAGCTGCAGCCACTTCACCTCATCAGCAGCCTGTTTAGTCTCTGCTCTGTTTGCGCCGCTTGTTTTAGTTTTTCCAAATAAAAATGTTTATTTTGTGCTTCTGACTGCAATCCTGGTTTTAAAAATTTTTAAACTGACGAAAAAAATCTGCTGTTCAGAGAAATTTCATAGATTTTATCAACAAATAACCAACCAGAGCTGCACAAATGTTCCTCTTTGAGTCGTTCTTTGTTGTTTAAGTCAAATAAACAACAACAAAAAGCAGTTTGAAGTTTGTTTAACATTCAGCAGAAGCTTCTCAATCCTTAAAAATATCTTTAATTAGAATCTAACGTTTCTTTTAACTGAAAATCAGCTGAAAAACCTGCAGCTCTGAAACCGTTTTGGGGGTTTTCTGGTTCCTGTGGGAGCTCCTCAGAGCGTTTCTCCTCAGGAAGCCCCAGAACTGCTGGGTCTGGAGGGTCTGGAGGGGCTGGAGGGTCTGGAAGACCGGCAAATAACCGGTGTGGACAGAGATGGAGCTGATATTTTACTGAATGACAACCGGACGGAAACGCCTAAAATATCAGATGAAAACAGCAGCAACATGATATCATTTTTTTATTTAACTTCCTTTTTTTTTTAATCGACACGTTTTAAACTCGAGAGCAACGCAGAGCTGTGAAAACCAAAAGTTCTAAATGAAAAACAAGGAAGCTCAAATTTAAAACGTTAACAGAAGTCTGAAGTGAAAGGTCGTTTTTAAATGTTTTAGTTTTAAAGGTGATGAAAAAAACATCAGCGATAAGTGTCTCTGTGAATAAAACTAAATTTAGGCGACTCAGCTTTTATTCTTTGTGTAAGCTATATGCTCRAGGCAGTAATGCACCCCCATACCATCAGAGAGGCAGGCTTTTGAACTGATTGCTGCTGGTTTTGGTTTGGATCCGTCTGAACACAGAACTTTGCGTCGGTTCACTGTAAATGTCTTTTAAAGATGATGTTGGATGMAGTTTGTGTTTTCAGCTGCAGGATTCTGAGGCCATTAGCTGCAGGGGGGGGAGGGGCGGGGTCCTACACTGGGAGGGGCTTGTCAGTGATTTCATCATTTATCAGGATATCTGCTGAATGTTTCTGGTGGTGAAGGCATGAAAAAGTTCACCAGGTAAAGGATGTGGTGAGAACTTCCTCTGATTACTGGCAGGACTCCAGATACGGTTTTATAAACTAAATATATCAAAAAACTGAACGGTTCCTGTGTTTCCTGTTTTTAGCAGATGATCGAGTTTTATAACAAGTCGCTTCCTTTCTCCTGCAGACGCAGAGTTTTTGTTGTATTTTCACGTCTGCTGCAGACAGAGAACAAAAAGAGACGTTAGCCTCCCCGACGTTTTTTTTTTCTGTTTTACAAGTTTACTGAATGAACGATAAGAGATCTCACAAACGATCGCCAACTTCTCCATTCCGTTGACCAGAAACCTGCTCATTCATGACTGCAACAGGATGAAGAGGAGGAAGAGGGCCCCCAGGACCTCAACTGCCCCGTTCTCTCTCTTCCTCTTTCTGCTTAATAATAGAAAGTTCAGGCTGTTCTGGACCCCGTGTGTCACAAGAGCCGGGGATGTGTTGCGCGCCGACTGCAGATCGTTCAGCTCCATCGTCGCTCTGTAAGAAAAGAAAAGAAAAGAAAGAAAGAGAAAGAAAGAAAGAAAGAAAGAAAGAAAGAAAGAAAGAAAGAAAGAAAGAAAGAAAGAAAGAAAGAAAGAAAGAAAGAAAGAAAGAAAGAAAGAAAGAAAGAAAGAAAGAAAGAAAAAGAAAGAAAGAAAAACGTTCTGGTCAGCAGTAATGCATGAGAAGTTGACGGGAAGAATCGACAGAGTTTCTCACTTTCACTCTTATGTCATCGTAGAAAAGAGATTTCTTCACAACACAAATGATCGGACCTGAGTTGTCCCTCTGATGGACTCGTCTTTCTGTGGAAAACCTGAGCAATTCCAGTTCATCCTCAGGTCTTCAAACCAAACACAACAGGTCCACAACAAACATCTGGTGAACGAGAATGGATCCCTGAGGAACACCACTAATAAAACAATGCAGAATAAATAAAATCATGTAAAAAATAGGAAATAAGTGAGAGTCAGGGTCAGATTTTAAAGAACAACAGATGTTTACAGTTCAGTTCATGTGGTGAATGAATGAATTCAAGCCTCGAGAGCTAAATTATGTTGTTTTGTGCTATGAAAGTAAAGAAAGAAATACACCTGAAGGCTTACAGTAGATCTGAGCTGTCCCTCTGATGGACTCGTCTTCTAAACAGGTTTCTGTGGAAAACCTGAGCAGCTCCAGTTCAAACACCACAGCGGGTCCACAACAAATATCTGGTGAACGAGAATGGATCCCTGAGGAACACCACTGATAAAACAATGCAGAATAAATAAAATCATGTAAAAAAAGCAGGAAATAAGTGAGAGTCAGGGTCAGATTTTAAAGAACAACAGATGTTTACAGTTCAGTTCATGTGGTGAATGAATGAATTCACACCTCAAGAGCTAAATTACGTCATTTTGTACTATGAAAGTAAAGAAAGAAATACACCTGAAGGCTTACAGTTGACCTGATCTCTCCCTCTGATGGACTCGTCTTCTAAACAGGTTTCTGTGGAAAACCTGAGCAGCTCCAGTTCAAACACCACAACAAATATCTGGTGAATGAGAACGTATCCCTGAGGAACACCACTGATAAAACAATGCAAAGAAAATCATGTAAAAATAGCAGGAAATAAGTGAGAGTCAGGGTCAGATTTTAAAGAATATCAACAATACATGTTTACATTTCAGTTCATGTGGTGAATGAATGAAAGAATGAATTCACGCCACGAGAGCCAAATTAAAAAATACTTTGTGCTCTGAAAGTAAAGACAGAAATGCACCCAAAAGGCTCACAGTTGACTTAAACTTCAACCCTTTATCATTTCACATAATTCATTTCTCCATAAGTAAAGGTTATAAGCAGTAGGACGATGTAAGACAGCTGGACAGGAAGACAGATGGACGTCTGCTGGACGAGGACAGCTGCAGATCTCACATGCGAGCGGCATGTGGAGCAGGAGAACAGAGCGATCTCTGAGGCCGCTGGCAGCTTCCTGCAGTTCCCGCTTTCCCTTGAATCTGAAACTTGGAAGGATTCTCAGAAGATTCGGGACAAACGGGGCGGCGGGAGGGTTGGACTCGGCRTTTATTTCCAGCTGGGTTTTTATTTTTGGGACAGTTTAAAGACATTTCCCTTATCCTGGACCCTGACATGAAACACGAGAGACGTTTTAGCTGACTGTTATCGTGGAGACCCTGCAAGTGTTGTCATGCTGCTCTGTTGTAATTTCACTAGAATCACTTCTGCATTCGGGGATCACATGGCCTGACCCAGACTGCTGCAGGGCTGTGCTGCAGATGCCGCTTCCTTTTACGCAGATAAATGCTGCGGCTTTTATGCCAGAATCTTAAAAAACACGACAGACGCAACTGCAGCCAAAAAAAAAACAACCTCCAGCTTGTCCCAGAAACTTTACGTCAACAAGCTTTTTAGTTTTTCTGCCAATCATAGAGCTTCATTTTCATTTTAAAGGGATCCACGATTAGTTGTAACATTAGACTTTATTTGATAAACATATATTT